TAGAAAACTACTAAAGATAAGCTTGATTCCGTGGACGTGAAGCATCCTTTTGATGTTTTGTAGTTTTCGAAGGAGCAGCAACTTAGCTTATCAAATCCAACACATCACTAGATGCGGGAAAAAAGTCTACATCTTCTACCACAAGAAAGAGAATTTCGAACTCAATCTAATTTGGCAAAAGTTGAATTTTACGCGTTTCTGACTTTATAGTTGAGCAGTTGATATTCTTGTGGTATGCAGTAATTTTAATGCTACAAAAAAACAGTAAATACTTATTTAAAAAAGGAACATGTGAATAATATCTGCACGGAATTCTCTATCTTTCAGCGTTAGAACGAAATTTTCTGGTCTAGTGTAGTTTGAGAAAACAGTCTATCAAACACAGATGATTCTCTCCGCTGCACTCGATATGAAGAATAATTTATGCTGGTAAAACGAAATCTAACCTTATCAAAATATTATAGTATGAAAAAAAAGTCTAATGAATGATTAGAAGCATTTTTACTATCTGTTTTTGTATATTACTTTATTACTGATTGCTGGTAATTATCTTATGACTTTATTACCTTATTACTTTGCAAAATTATCACTTGTTATCAGTAATAGTAAACTATCACTCCCAATCTATAGTAAAACATTGGCTTAAATGACCGTCTCTTTCATGAGATATGCCCCTAGAGAATGTACTGAGTTCGGGGTACCCGAATAAGTACCCTGCTACAAAATGTTTAATACATGGGTACGTGAAAGCACTGGTCATATACTTAACTGGGTACTGCTGCAGTATCTGTAGATACTCTGTTGGAAAAATTCCAGTATGTTTGCGATCGCACCTCGCCTCTGACCTTCTTCCACATTGTATTTTTTTCACTATATTTTTCGAAATGTATAAACCTGATAACTTTTTATTATTATTTTTTCTTTATATAAAAAAGATCACTATTTTTACGTTTATTGATTAATACAAAAAAATGAGTAAAGCGATAGATTAAATGTGCAAGTTACAATTTTTGAGATATCAGATTACATAGAATTAGAAAATGAAAATTAAATGAATTTCCAAAAATAAAAATATAATTATTAAATGGAAAACCAAATTATATATTGTATTACACATCTAAGCAAGTCTAATCATAAATAAGAAATCAAACATCTACGACAAGTGCTTAACAAAAAAAGGAAATAAAAAAATTACAAAAATTCAATAAATATTACGGTCATCACAAATTCATAACAAATGATCAGTATATGAATTTTACATTGATAGTTCACATTATTTATATGAAATAGTTAATCAAGGCCAGCATTATCAGTTTCAGTTGAGCACGCAGCATTAGTAATATGGTTTGATTGTTCAGCGGCTAAATAATCGTTTCTAAATGAAGTATATGAAGATGATTTATCGTTAATAAATAATAAACTATAGACACTGATGTCATGTAATCATTAAGCGTGTCATCACCATCACTTTCAACCTTTTTTACAACAAAATATGAGACATGTGAAAAAGAGAATTATATGAAAAAAAAATTGAATGAGATGTACCCACTTAGTAAAAGACAACTATGGACGATAATAGAAACAAAAGGACACAACATTCTAATGTTACATCTTTAACAAGTATCTTTTTGATTTTCCTATTCAAGCTTTGGATAAAACAAACGTGGATCATTTACATACATTTTTCTATCAAAGAAAAGATGATAAATTACTTTATTTTCTTGAGCAATATAATCGCATTAATTTACATATAAAATGTTTTTGTAATTCTATTATTCTTTAATGCAATATATTAATGAATACAACATTTAATTGTATTCTTATTAATATACCACGACTGATTTCTTTGAAAAAAAGCTACCAATCACCATTAATTATTAGCTATACCTCGAATTATTTAATTGTCGTTTAAAATAATAGAAAAAATTACAAAAAGAGTAATGTAAACTCTGCAAAATAGTTTCGAATTCGTAAAACTTAATTTGTTCTCAAATGCATTAATGTGCTTTTTCAGTGCGTCAATAATGAAAATGAAAAAGTTGGGTACCATGATGAGTCCGATTCAGTAAGCCTACCTGTGGATATCCACACAAGTACTCGATTAGTATATATATTGGTATGAATGCTTCACAAAGTACCTACATCAGTATAATTACTGCAATTTTTCAAAGTACCTGCGTAGGGTACCCTGCTGGGTCTTTTCTAGTATATAGGTACCTTGAACTTAGTACCTTCTCTAGGGCACGCTGTTTTTCCATTGAATTTTGTCAAATTTTTTTTGGCTTACGGTCAGAGGTACCCTCTTGAGATCTCAACGACGATGGAGGTAATTGATCCCGCTGAATCCGAATATGCTATTTTTATTCACTGAACAGCTACTCTTCAAAACCGTCCCGGGGTGATATGTCTTTTCTTTACAGCTAGGGAAAAATAAAGTTTTTTTCGTTTACTATTTATGAGAAATACGGTAAACGGCCGGTCGACCGGTATACTGGTCAGTTGACTCTATTTTCTCTTTCGACTCAGTCTAGATTTTTTTGAGTCTTTGCATGCTTGTTTTTTCAAAAAGCTAATCATAGAAGTGTTTCACGAATCAAACACCTTTTACTGATATAGGGAAGTATTTCAGTAAGAGAATATGTATCAGAATATTCTGCCAAATTGAGTTACATCACAGTAGAGTCCTGCAGCCCTACCCTATCCTAACCTAGGGCAGGGTAGGGTGTGGGTATCATTTTGAAAACTGTAGGGTATTTCAGGGTAAAATTTTCATTATGCCAATCTGGTCTGTTTAAACGCCCGACATCTGGCAACCTCTGCTATCGAACAATATCTTCTATTCATAGGAAAATAATGAGAAAATACCTATTGGCTGCTTACTTCGATTCATTTCTTAATAAGTGACAAAAGCTGTTCATGTCTTTCTTTCTTCTTTGTCGATATTGTTTTTAATATTCGTGGTCCATGTAAACCCCTTCCCGCAATAGAAGATCCCCTTGAACGAATGGTACGCCGGACGTAATAAATGACCCCCCTTAATTAATTAGTTTCTCGAAAAATTGGAACTTTAATTGTACATTTGCATTAAAAATATGCGTAGTTTTCTAGTTTTTTAGCTGAGAATTTTAAAAAAAGAAGGTCTATCTTATTTCTGGACATTCAAAAATCTCAAAATCTCTTTCCAAATCATCAAATCGTTTTGGTTTTCTGAAGAACCTTCTTAAATAAAAATTACGGAAATAGATGGTACACAATAGAAGACTCCTGAAAACTATGCATGCTTTAACATAATAGAAAACTCGGGATCTTGTAATGCGTACGGGGATTTCGTACTATTTTTCTTCTTTGCATATTGTTGATAATATTCGTAGTCCATGTAGTACTATTTCTCTGATATTCATATTAGCTGTGATATTCTTTGTATACTATTCTTGACATTTGTAAAATTTAACTTCATTATTTCATCAATAAATACTGAAATCATGCACAGTACACGGTTATTGTAATTTTTGAATTTAGTAGGGTAGCGTATAGGGTACGACCATTGTACCTTAGGGTAAGACTAGGGTAGGGTAGGGTACGAAAACAAAATGTAGGGTAAGATAGGATAACGAAATTCATATCCTTGCAGGACTCCAATCAAGAGCAAACATTGCTACGGTATCTCTCAAAATCGATTACGAATTCCTATGGTGAACAGATCTTGGTCTGTGATGACTTCTCTAAATGTCTATCACGGTTTGCAATAAATTGTCGAGATGTTTTTCAACTAGAGTCTTGCGGAGTCAACTTTTTGACTCCGATTCCAACTCTGAGTAACTCCGAAATTTTTTTGTCTAGCATGAGCGACAAAAAATCTATTCTATTGTTGGAATTTTAACATAGACATAGGCAAGTGGATAAAAAGTTGAATGAATGAAGAAAAGCCAATAATTATTAAAAAATTTATCTTAAATTTCTTTTTCATTTTTTCTGCATAAATAAAATAAAAAAGATTGCAAAGTTTTTGACAAGGAAAGAACTTGAAAAACTGATACATGAAAAACATGAATCTGTAAGACTCGATATGTACTATGCCCAAATAATCAAGAATTGATGATGAAGACAGTTTTAGTACTTCAGATGAAATTAAAATATTTTTGATTAATCTGATTGTTTTCATATAGCTGATTTTTAGAATTGTCTAACTAAAAGTTGATTGTCTTTTTTGCCTTAAAGCTCATTCTTAATTTATGTAACAAATTATGTTTTTTTATTATTGTGAAACATAAAGTTATTGGTTTATTAAAAGTCAAAATTTTGTCGGAGGCAGTTACAATTTCAACTCTGACTCCGACTTCGACGGAGTTGGAGTCATAATCGGGTTTCGGAGTTCCCCGCAGATCTCTACTTTCAACAACTTTGATTATTTCTCATGTGTCTGCCACGATCTGCAATGTGTTCATGGATTGTCTGTCATGCACGGCGTGTAATGGATTCTCAAGTTGTCTTTCATAGTCTGTGATGAATTCGAAAGGTGTCTACCAAGATCTCTCACATGTCTTGAAAGTCTTTATCGCAGTATGTGTTGCATTCTAATGAGGTCTTTCACGGTCTCTGATGTTTTACCTAAAGATTCTGTCATAGCTTTTGATGAATTCCAAGAATATGTCTCATAGTCTGTAATGAGTTTCTAAAAGTGTTTATCATCGTCTAATAATGTATTCCTATGGTGTCTGTCACGATCTCAAGAATTTCAAATTTCCATTCTTTGACACTCCAAGAGTCATTTTAGGTCATATTTAAAAATAATATTTTGCACTTTTCACATATCTCGCATTTAAAAAAATGAAAATATAAGCAAATTTTTCTCTAATCTTAAAAATGCTATATATAAATGAGGAATAAGCTTTTATTTGAGATCAAGAATATGTAAAAAAAATGCTTTTATTTCATGATTATATTATTATATTTTTTATTTTAACAAAGTAAAAACAAACAATGTCAATATGCATATAAATTTATGATAACCAAATTTCTATAGTCTGTTCATTATTTTGAACATCAATCATCTGTTGATGAATAATATTATTGGAAAATAGTTGACGGCGTTTTTCAATAATATAATCATGTGAAAATGGATCGTCAAGTAACGTATCTTGATAATAATTAATTTTCACATAAGACAAGTTTTCTAGATGAGTAAGGAATATATCAATAATAGACACACAATTATCGAATAAAAATACTTGAAGCTCAATATGACTAAGTGATGGAAAACATTGAACAAATTTTGATGCAAAATCTGAAGGAAAATAAATTTTTTCTGTTATTGATTTGATCATTTTAATTTTTTTGAAAACTGAAATAAGAGATTGATTATCGATTAATTTGGAAAAAACTAATAATCGCGTATTAATTACAAGATTAATTACATTTGGACATGCTCTATAATGAAACAAAAATAATATAATCATTATATTAATTTTTAATAAGAGTAATTATTATTTAATGTAATTCATCATTTAAGTAATTTTTGTTTTTCTCTATATATATAGAATACTTACTGTAGAATAAACTGAATATCTTTCCATCGAGATATATCATAATTTGTTCCAAATTGTATTTTAGTTATATTGAGTAAATGAACAAATTGTGAAAGATAACTCAAACGTTCTTGTACATCATTATTATCATCATTTGTTTGACGAAATTTAACTAAACAAACAAAAGAAAAAATATATACAATATAGTTCATCTATATATGACATAAAGTGAATATTCTCCTTACAAATATTCAATAAATTATTCGATAATGATAAACGTTTTTTTTGTATAAATATAGATAAAGAAGTAATTTGTTGAAATAAAGGAAAAGACCAAGTAACCATTGGTCTTATCGTTGTCATATATATTCTCAAATCTGTTTGATTTGAGTAAAAAAGATAATGATCATTTGCTGCTGATCGTGTCTCAAATGAACCCCAATAAATAAAAGGAACATATACATGTACGTCTGATTTGTGTTTCTCATAATTCAGTGTGCGTAACATGACAAATTCTTCTAAAAGACAGAAAAAAAAACAAATTGAATCTGTAAATATAAGATCATTTTGGGTGTGGGTGTGGGGTGTGGGTGTGGGGTGTGGGTGGGTGTGGGTGTGGGTATGGGTATTATCTCCAATTACACCTACACGCCCACACCCACACACACCAACACCCACACCCTAGTAAATTTGCCAATAAGTCTAAGGGTCCGATCGTATGTCACGGACACCAAGACAGTTCCTGGCTGGTGTTTAAGGCCTGAATGATAACATTGTAAGGGTGAGTTTAAATTATATTATGTTAAATCGTATGAGAAAGCCAAAAAGGAATTCTTTAAAAAGAATTTTCTATTTTCATTTCACTTGTCCACGAAGATATATAAATATAAATAATACGAATATCTATCCCATTCCATCCCATGGGATTGACGAACGGTTCCATGAAGTGTGTCTGTTATAGCGCGACTTATCTATATCTGTCATTTTCCTTTTCCCTTACTTTTTTCTGTTCTGCTATCGTACTTAGATGATACGTACTATATACATGTATCTTTTCTTCTTTCCTTTCCTTCATATTCAGGTATATTCCAAATATTCTTTTCTGTTGATATTGTTCAGGTATTTTCCCCTCTCATTATGTTTTTCTTCCTCATATAGTGTAAAGTTATTCGGAACTAGTAAATTAATTGTAACTAAACGAAATGTTGTCATTGTTTCTGTAGAAGCCATATGAATATTCTTTTTTCTTTGACAATATCAAACGTAGACGGAATACTTTTAGTCAACAATAACGTGCCAACATCAGTATTTATTGTAAAGAAATGTTTTTTTTTTCTTTTTTCGTTCTTCTCTGAGTAATAATTTGAGTGTTACAATGCTTCATTTTCGGTATTTTGCAATGTGTACACCTTTTTTCTGTTATTTATCCTCATAATATAATCAAAAAATAAGACAAAGCAAATTGTGTGAATCTATTTTTTATGGTAAACGATAATGTTGATAAGAGTATCTGAATTGCAACATATTTAATTAAACGGAAAGAATAGCAGAAAAATATTATTAATATTCTCAACGATCTTTCAGAAACAATTATTTTTAAATAATATGCATATGATTATCTTCCTGATTGAATTGTTTTTCACACGCTAGTCTTTTATAAGAACATCGTCAAATAGAAATATGTTGTAAATGGTAACATTCAACGTATATTTAAAATCATAAAAAATTTCATTTATTTTGATTTTAGTTTAAATTCAGCAAAAACAGCATTATGATCTGTCTCTCCTTTAGTATCAATAATTGAACATTCATTTAAAAACCATTGATCATTGTCACGAGGATGTACATAAATATAATCAATACGCGTTCCATATCGACATGTTGCTATTTGTTCATCTTTTACTTGTGGATTGTTTAACTTAAATACATCTTGATAATTCCATTCACCTGTTATTAATTTAGTTAAATCAAAACGAGGTTTTTCCCATTGAAAATTTTCACGTATTCCAACAACTTGTTCTCGATAATAATTATCTGAATAATCATCTCTTGTTAATGCATTCATATCACCCATCAATATATCAATATTTTGTCCATGTGGATTAAATTCTTTGATTTGTTGTAAACGATTATCCTCATTAATATAATCTAAATGTGTTACAGAAAATATTCTATCTTTAATAAATGGATGATCACCATTTAAACGACATTGCAGTAAACCTCTTGTACCACCTGAACATGGAACATATGCTTGTCGATTTGAATAAAATTCAATTGGATAACGAGATGCGATTCCGTTCCCAAGATGATGGTCATCACCTTGACCATAAATAAAATTCGATAAAGAGAGATGTTGACAAAATGTTTTCCATTTATCATTATTGTTTATTTCTTGAACAGCAATTAAATCAAGATTAAGTGGTTCAAGAATCGATATTAGATCATTAATATTATTTTTACCGTTTTTTGGTGAATTAAATAAATGTACATTAATTGTAGCTAAACGAAATGTCGACATTTTGTAAGACAAAACAAAAAAGTCAACTTCTAACAGAAGTTGACGTTGTTTTTATTCGTTTATTTGACATGCGTCATGACCAATGTTATTCTTTTAAAACGTGCACGTTTTTTCTTCCTATCTTAAGGTAAGTATGCTCTTCACCGAAACTCATATCACCGAAATAGATATCACCGAAATTCGATAATCTACATTTCGCCGAAGTATCCTTTCGGCGATGTTAGGGTGTGAGGGTGAGTATAAATGGACTACCACGATGCGTTTCAATCCAGTCACGGATCTCATCAGGTGGCATTAATCATCTACATAATATTAAATTAATAAATTGATAAAATTTCAAAGAAAATTCTCCAATATTAAAGAAATAATAGAAAAATAGATAATCTATTCATCAGGTGAGTACACAGTTGGCTGTTGGTAGAATGTAGTAGTTGGTATATGGTTTGAATATGTCGCAAAATCTAGAAAACAAAAAATCTAGAAATGGAAAAATTTAGAAAAAAAAAATCTAGAAAAATATAAATCTAGAAAGATAAAATTTAGAAAAGCTCAAATCCAGAAAAAAAGGTCGATAAGAGCTCCATAGAATAGAAATACTTTTATTTTATGAAGAGAAGACACGACAAAAACTATACAAGAAAAAATAAACATTCAGTTTTTGATAGCTAGCAGCATCGAGAGGCCTTCGAGGTATTCTGTTCGATCGATATCGTCGTTGTGGAAACGAGTACGAAGAGTATCGATTTTTTTTGCATGGACAGAGTCTTCTTTGCTTGAGTTTTCTGGCCACCTATTTGCATCTTGATTAGTTGCTGTTGAAAGATGACTTCTTCTTTCTTAGGACATCCGATGAACGCCCATATGTTGGGATGCGATCGAATCATGCGTTTATTGAAGCGATTGTTCCATCCTAATAAAAGAAGGAATAGTTATTAGATTTATAAGCAGAAAAAAATCGCGCACCTTCGACGTGATTGTTCGTTCTAACACTAAGATCAGATACATTCCAGAAACTGTGTTTGATTTTCTTCATCCATTGATTAGCAAAGTAGTCCATAAGATCTTCCATCGAGGCAGGTGCTTCGTTCAAAATTTCATTGAAGGCAAATTCGATTTGATTGAGAGGAAGAAGTGCCAGTGCCATGAGTTTGTGTGCGGTCAACTGCACTGCAGTATCTTCCCGATAAATCTTCGAAAGACCCAGAGTTTGAATTCTTCGAGAGATACACTGTGTATAATGGAAATAGCACCCGTGGTGATGCGAATTTGAAAACTAGAGCAAAGCAAGGAAAAATGGATTTCAAGAATAAAGTAACGATGAAGATAACTCACCATTTTTGCCACAACGGTGGCCAATGCAGGTTCAAAATCAGATGTGATTCGATTTGGTGTAAATTTCATGTTGAGACGATCAGCGTGTTTGTTAAGCATAGTAAAAAGATCTTCATAGAATATTTTAGAATTTTCAGACATCAAAGCGATGACCCATAGAAAGCCTAAAAGGTTCAATAAGGTTGAGAAACGAGAAACAAAAAAAGAGACTTACATTCTTCGTGTTTGATTCCGTGAATAGAATAGACTTGCTCAAAATTCTTTGGAGCCACACTGAATGTCCCATCCATAAGAATGTGAGAACATCGAAACAAGAAGCGAAGTTGCTCGTCAGTAGCAAATAAAATGATTCGAGTGGTAATATTGTTGCGTCGTCCCTGGCGATCCGACAGAAGAAAATGTTCGTCACTAATAGTTTTCATATACAAACGAGGAATGTTGAACTCAACCTCGATTGGTATAATTGGCATTCCTTTCCGGCGTATCATATTTAATGCAGATCCTAGAATATATATGATAAAGGATGGCAGGTAGGTCTTCTTTTTTCTACTCACGAGCTTTCTTCGGTGTTGGAGCAATAGCAAGAGCTGCTTTTGACATATTCGAGCGGGTCATTTGATCTTCCTAGATTTGGCAAGAAGGTGTCATTTTCTCCACTTTAATACGTTCTTTTGTAATGTTCCACATTTTTCGCACCTCGATCTTCTCCGGAACCGGCAAATGACAATGATTACCACTTTGCTTAATCAATTCGCTGTTGTTCGAGTTTGTGTGAGCACGACTAAGGCAGTCTTTGTATTGACACATCCAGTAAGTCACATTTTCTGTGATCTTCGTACGCTGGTAGGCATAGTCTTCAATAACAAGAAGTTGTTTGCCCTTCTGGCTTATGATGAATGAGTGAGTAGACAAGTTGTTCGACATTTTTTAGAATGAATGAATGAATGAGAGTGATCTGATGATATTAACAACTATATATAAACGACGTGCTGTATAGGGAACAAAGGACAATCTACAAATAATATCGCCATCGGTCTATCAATTAGTCATGCATTGTTGTTGGAAGGATAAGTGTAATAGTCACTGAGTAGAAAAACAAGAAGTGGTGCACCATCTTGAAAGTTCAATGATAATGGAAAGATAGATCGAGATCATATCAAAGACTGAGTCACAAAAGTTAGAACACACTCAGCTTTGACAGATTAATGAATTTTTTAGATTGTTTCCTACATTTCTGTTTTCTAGATTTTTTTCTTTCTAAATTTTTTGCGTTCTAGATTTTCTTCTTTCTAGATTTTTTTTTCTAGATTTTGCGACAATACCTATGGGTTGATCTTTATTTGATCTAATTTGTATAATATTCTAGATAATTTAGGTAATCCGGAATCGGCGTATTCTGGATAGGTTTTTGGTTGTAGTTATTTAAATGCTTGATGGAAATTAAATCCATGATTGAAATAATATTTTGGTTATAATGGATATATCTGAAATGTGAATCATCCTGATGAAAACTGATTTAAGTTTTAAGCTTGTATTGCAAAAAAAAGGCCAAACTGTTTTTAAGAAAAACTTTTAAGATAAGAAGACTACAATGTTTTATGCATGAGGAAAACTGTCTGGAAACACGCATGCTTTCTTGATAAGCAAAATGAGTAAGCAGTTTTCTATTGAATGAACTCTGTTTTTGTCTTCTAAACAGGGAGAACAATATGAATGATATGATGAATTATTCGATGTGTAGTTTGGTTTCTTTATTAATTTGGTATTTGTCGAATCAACGTTGATTAACATTGATCTGGGTGGCTTTTTCTTGATTAATAATTGACTGAGAGATTTATTAGTGGTTGTACTTATCTGCAAAGTAACATTTTTCATAGGTGAACCAGGATAAATAGAATATTTCTGCCATAATCGACTTAATTGGTACTTAGAGTCTAACATTGGACAACTTTCAAAAGTAAAATGAACACGAATCTCTTTCTTATTCCAACATTCTCGTTGTTGTTCAGTTTGAATGGATGATAATTGATTCGGATTAGAGATCATGTCTTTTTGTTGTTGTTGTTTTTCTCTTTCTCGTCTTGTCGGTCGAAGAATTAATTCTCGATGTAATTCTTCGTAGAGACCATTATCTAATCGTTCCATTACTGACATGTTATTGTTTTGTTGAAAGAACTTCTTAAAATGATATGAAATAAATTGTGGTGGATAACTATTCAATAGCAACGTTAGTTCAATGTTCAATCGTTCTTTGTCGAAGTCTTCTACATTTGAACAAAGACGAACTGCTCGAAATAGAGCTCGTTTGATAGTATTACGATGAATATAATGTGGATGATCCGATAGAAATGGTACAATGTAAGGTTCTGCTGCTGGTTTATGAAAAACTGTAGTTTTCAATTGTCCTTGATTATTCTTGACACAAACATCAAGGAATTCTACAACTGATCCAATCGATCCAGTAATTCATTGAGGGTGTGGGTATGGGTATGATTGCGAGTGTTGGTATATGAATATTGAAATCCCACACCCACACCCACACTGTAAAAAAAAACGGTACCTTCTGGAACCTCAAGAAAAGGTTCGGTAGATGACAAAAAGTTTCAAAATGTGTTGAAAGTTTCAAAAAACGAATAAAAAAGAACCCGGAACCTTTAAAGGATCTTACCGTGTACCCAAGTGAAGATCCTTTTTTCTTCGAAACCTTTTTAAGTTCCGTACACCAAAAAAAAGGTTTTGTAGGAAAGTACGAAGCCTTTAAAGTTTCGCATCTAGTATAATAGTTTTATAGGAAACCCAGTACGAAACCTCGAGGCTCAATACGAAACCCTAAAGATTTCGTACTCTCCTACAAAACCTTTTTTTTGGTGTACGGAACTTAAAAAGGTTTCGAAGAAAAAAGGATCTTCACTTGGGTACACGGTAAGATCCTTTAAAGGTTCCGAGTTTTTTTTAATCGTTTTTTGAAATTTTCAACACATTTGCACACTTTTTGTCATCTACCGAACCTTTTTTTGAGGTTCCAAAAAGTACCTTTTTTTTTACAGTGAAGAAGAACGTAGTGATACTAATTTTAGTAATATTGGTGAAGATAATTTCGTTAATATTTATATTAAAGATTTTTTAACAAAAAATTTCTTTTTCTTTGTTGCAAAATTTAAGGATTATGAAGATTGTCCTCGACGTACAACATCAAATAATTATTCATTCTTATCCTCATCAAATCTAAATGAATCTGGAACTATATATTGTGGTCAATGTCCATAAGTTCTGATCTTTTTCATATTCTTTCAATACATAATATTCGTTTATGCGAAGAAAAATTAAGTTATCTTTATAATCATTTACAAATGTTTCATCATATGACAGCTCGTAGCACATATAAAGTTTGTAAAGTTGTTTTAAAACAAAGTGATCCGATGATAACCGTACTTTTTAATCCAAAATATATATTAAACGAAACAAAATTACTTCAAAATATGCAAGCACACAAAGATAATTCTTTAAGTTGCTGCCATCTTTCATTTATTGGATCAATGACTATCAAAATATTTGGCCTTTTATTAATTATCTTGTCATTAATATTCTGGCGGAAAAATTCATTCAAGAGAATTTTTACAAGCTTTGAACTAATTCTTAATATCGATATATTTTTCAATTTAGAGTTCAAGAAATCTCTACATTTCGATGAAACTGACTACAGTTTGTACTTCTTACGTTTTTGTATAATTCATTTTTTCAGTTTTACTAAATAAAATGAATGAGAAATTTTTATTCAACAAGATTTTTGAGAATTTGTCAACGGACTTCTAATGTCTAATTAATATATTTTATTTTCTTCGAAATATAATATTGTGTTATAAGTAGTGCCCGGCGTGACCGCCGTGACTCACGGAAGTCACGGTCACGGTCGTGACTGTGCGTGACTTTTTTCAAAGATCGTGACCATGACCGTGACTGAAGCTTGGTCACGGTCAGTCACGGGAACTTTTTCGAAATTTTGGAAACCCCTGAGGGGGAGTAGGTGAGCTTCGCGAAGCTACCCCCTCTGGTCATCATTTTTTATGAAAAATTGGGAAATTTCTAGTATTTGCGATTTTGGAAACCCTGAGGGAGAGTACGGACACCTTCACGAAGCTACTTCAAGCCCCTGCGGTCATCACTTTTAATAGCAAACGAAAACTTTGCAATAGCTCTTTTTCGAAAGTTTTTTTAATATTGAGGAACCAGAAAGAAGAGCCGTGACCCACGGGCTGAGCTCACCGTGACCGTGACGTGACCGTGACCAAAAAAGTTGGTTACGCCAGGGTCTAGTTATAAGAAACACATTACATGAGAAATATTTCGTTTGACAACAAAATACTAGGCTAACAGAAAGAAAAATGTCATCATCTATTTGGTGATTAAACAGACTGAACTAATTCATAGTGAATGAAGAAACATTATTGACCTTTTTATATAGCAACGTGAATTCTATTGGTTAATTCACTTTGAATTAAGTCAGTCTCTTTGGGACATTAGTTCATTTTGAATTAGTCTACTCCTGTTTATTATCTTCATTATAGAACAAACATGACGGCATCGATATTTATTCGTTATTTTTCTTATAGACGGCCATGAGAATGTGAAGTATATTTAGATTGACACGAATATATTGTACGAATCAGACATGAACAATTTGAATAAAAATGAGCTCAATATACTCGATATACCTGATGAAATCTTCTTCATCATTTTTAAAAAACTCAATATGGTTGAAGTTCTTTACTCACTTGTGGATGTTAATCGATGATTTGATCGTTTACGACTTGATTCTCTTTATATTAATAATCTTAATATGACTGATACTATGACCATCAATTCATTCTATGAGCAACCATGTTCAATAGATGCTCAAGTTATTTCAAAAATTTCTGAAAAAATCCTACCTCGAATTCATGATCAAGTACATAAACTCACTATTGAAGAATTTTCAATTAAACCAATTCTTCTTGCTGCCAATTATCCTCAACTTTATTCATTATCACTTATTAATTTTCAAGAAGAAATGCTTTATCAACATTTAACAGGTATTGCATTTAATTCTATTCGTTAGAATTAATAAAAACAATCGATCTAATCAGATAAAAATTAATAATTATCCTTCATTTTTTTTTAATTCAAGATGATGCAATTCTTCGTGATCTTCTTACCAAACAAATTACACATCGTAATATTGATATTAAAAAGACAATAGGACAAAGAACAAAAATAGTTTCAAAGATTTTTTGCATTAATCTTATCTTTATGTAAAAACTTAACTGTTTTAAATTTTTGTGATATGTTTCCAACACGAAAGTGTCTACTTCCTATTTGTTATCTACCATCAACAAATTGTATGTCTTTAGCTTTAGTCAAATTGACAATCACTCTTTCCTGTTTATTGGATTGTCTTTATTTGTTTGATAGTCGTCTCGATTCTTTATCAACATTAATTATTAATGTATCATATATTTTTGGTCCAAAAATATCTAAAGATTCACAAGTAAGTATAATTTCAATGATCATGTTTTGCAAGGAAAATATTAAACTAAATAAATAATTTTAATTTTATTTATCTTGTAGAAAAAGCTTCTTAAATTAAAATGTTTTTCATTGTCTTCACCTAAGCTCACAGTTGATTATCATGATCTAATTGTCGCATTGCTTTGTCAAATGGTAAATCTTGAAGAATTGAAATTATATCTATTAGTACAAAGATTTGACGCAACTTATATTGATGGTATTCAATTATATGATCACTTTCTTGTTTATATGACACAATTAAAGAAATTTACATTTAATGTCAAGACAAATGTCTCTAACATTTTTCTTAGAGTTAAACTTTCATCGAATGAAGATATTCAACATAGTTTCATTGGAAGAGGTTATCAACAAGTTACTTCATATATTCATAATGATTCAATGAAGAATAAAGGCAAATGCTTGATCTATTCAGTTCCATATGAATTCGATTATTTTTTTTACTTGTACAATTCTTTTCAAGGTGGCATATTTCATAAAGTGCGATATTTGACGATGGATGATACAATTCCTTTTGAACATAAATTATTTAATGTTATCTCTGAAGATTTTCCTTATCTAGAACTCTTACATATATGTAATCATTATTCACCAAACACCAAAGAACATTCATTCGCATTAATTACATTTCTTTATCTCACACTGCTTGATCTACAAGATGCACATGATGATTATGCTGAACTATTTCTCTTGACAAAAAATGCTTATCTACCTCGTTTGTTAAATCTCTCCATGCAATACAAATCACTCACAAAGATAACAAACAATTTTACCAATAATGCAATGGATTTCAATTGCAGTAAATTGAAAAGTCTAGGTATATATCAACCATTTGTTCGTCCAAAAAATTTTCATCAATATTTTCCTTTGTTATAAATTGTTTCAATAAAATAGAATACGTAGAGACAATGAAATATTTTTCATTTATACTACATATTACAACAAAAAACACGAAACTCGAATGCAAAATGCGATACGAAGCAAGTCATATCTATTAATGAAAAATCGTATGAAACGAATAGTCATATTTATGATTGAGTGATTGAGTACGAAACGTTTTATTTCAGGAGGTGTTTGTAATATATTTCATTTAGTTCTTTTTCCTATTAGTATGGTGAAAAATATTAATGAAAGATAATTATTTATAAGAGAACCTAATGTTAGAAATAGAGTTGTCCGACGTATTGGAGCAAGTACTGGTTGATAATCAGTTGCATAAAAACAATCATCAGATAATATTGATGAAAATAATGGAATTGATCGATTATTATTATTATTGAGAATAAGATACAGGGGTCGCAGCAGCACTACTTTCCTGATTTTTTCCTGATTTTTTTGAGAACGTCCTGATAGGTCCTGATTTTCTTTGGTTTTCCTGATTTTCCTGATTTCTGAAACTAGCAGCCAATGAGTGCAATGAATTGCTGAAAATAATAAATGTGCGACTTCTTTCGCCATCATAGATCACTTATCTTCCTTTCAACCCAATTGTGAGTGTTTGTTTCAACTGATAAATGAAAAAGAATTTCATAAATTTCATTTATTTATTATATACAACTTTACAATTGAATTTATTTATTATATACAACTTTACAATTGAATTTATTTATTATATACAACTTTACAATTGAATTTATTTATTATATACAACTTTACAATTCAATTTATTTCTTCATTTTTTTTCGTAATTGATTAAGTGAATCATTGTTTTGTACAATTTCAGTATTTACAGTGATAAGCTTCTTCTTGCCACTTTCTATAAGTATACCAGCTGTCTCAATCTCACAGAAATTCTTTGAATCGATTGCCGCCTTGAGTCGTTGGTCGCCTTCTTCGAGTAAACGTGTTGCATTATTGAGCTCGGCTTGTAATACTTTTTGTTTTTCAAGTAGATCCGATTCCTTTTCGGTCAAAAGCTCATCCTTGCTTTTCGCCGCTTTTGCTAAATCATCGGCAATCTCCTTGTCTTTTCTTAATTGCTGTTGACGCTCCTGATCAGTTCGATATCGAGAATAAGAGCTTTTTACATTGTCCAGCAGACTCGGCGTGATTGAAACCTAGAAAAAATTGAACATTAACGCGTGAAGGTTGTTTCGAAAACATTCAAAATATCAGAAATCATATCAAAATGTTTTCACCTTAGAAATTCTAAAGTACGCATATATTAGAAAATGACTCATTGATTTGTTTTATCTTACTTGATGTGGCTTTCCATCGGCGAAGAATTTAACACCCGCTGAAGTGGCTCGTAAGCCATTGATGGACTGTTCGCTGAGAGACGCTCGTTCATCAGAGACGAGATGTCGATTTTCGCTGAAACCTCTCTCTACCTCTGCATTTCCATGAGAGAGAGACAGGAGACATTTAACAAGTTTTGTGAGTACGATGAATTGTAGAGATCCAGTTGAAGATTTAATCAAGAAAACGCGACGCCAATATATGTCGATTGGATGATAAACAGTAGATTCATTTTGATTATCGCTGTCGGTCTTGTCTTCCATCCATTCGTCTGAAATATCTGCCATTTCGTATGCACGCCATTCGACACCAAGTCGATCAATTTCTTCTTCGTTGAATAAGAATGGCATTGAACGTGCGATGCACATAATGCTAGTTCGAGATGCACTCTCTTTTCGAAGCAATGGATGCAGGCATTGAAGATGTCGGAGTAAGTTATTGTTGATAGGCAACGTTCGAATCAGTTCTTTCTGTAAACAACACGACATTTATGTTAGTGAGAATAAGCATTGATAAATAGCTACTTACTGTAATCGTGCAATAAATCGCACGAACATCTTTGTAAAAAGCTGATTTTTCATTCGATGATAAGCCATTGAGACAATTGCGTGTTGATTCACCAATTTCGATCTTACTGTCGATACGCTGGTTACTTTGCAGTTCATAAGAGATAGACAATAATTCTGTGCCTTGCTTGAATGCAACCGAGTCTTCTTTAACAAAGCACAGAAGAACGCTTCGGAGAATGTTGCAACATTCGTTAAATAATACATGTACGAGTGGCCGTTCTTGTTGAAACCACACGAGAGCTTTCTTGAAGATGGTACGATATAGATAAAGTATGAAGTGGAAGCGTGCCATTGTTAACTTGTCCTCGAGCGTCGCTTTGATCCGTTGAAATCGCTCATTGCGATCGAGAGTTCTATCTGCCTTAGGAAGAAATATGAGAAAGTACTCGTTGATAATATGCCATTGCTCGACGATACGTTCAAGTACTATACCAATTTCAATCCAGCGAGTACAGACGAAACGATGAAGAAATAGAGCATAACCTTCGACAATGCTGTTGGCCACTGTAACAAAATCTTCACGGCGTGCAGCAGAACGCGAGAACCAAAACCACATTTCATTGATAGACTCGTCGATTGTCCATTGTGTGCTCGTCATTCCTTTTCGAAAAGAATTGTGCAGAATGTGAAGCGGGCATGAGCCAATCGATATGAGTCCAGATGATGGTACCTTCGGTTGTCTAAATTAGATTTAAATAATTGCGCGAATAAGATCAGCTTCTTTTGCCTCAACTTACTGTTTCCTTCGCTCAGCGATGACTTCCTTCTCGACTAATGTTTCGATTGCTTTGTTAACATTCGGATTGTCGCGTCCTAAAGTGGCCAAATTCAATTCGTCAATTAGATTAAATAAATCACAAGAAACCTACCTAACATTAAAAGGCGCGCGATGTCGATTCCATCGGCTTTCAAAGTGTCAATAATTTCACGAGAAACGATGTCAGCTGTGGCATGTCCAAGAAAGATACTTTTATAGTATCGAGTACAAACGGTATTCTTTGTCTCACTCCAATACCTAAAATGAAGATCACACTGCTTACGTACACCAGCCGTTGTGGACTCATCGAATAACAATGAAAACGCTTTGGCTTTGCGCACATCTTTGATTAACTCCATTGTGAAGTGATGGCCAGTACCGTGTGATATTATGTAGGACAATTTACGCGAGCGCATGGACAGATCAGCTGCTATCTTGCTGTCAGGAAACATCGATTGCATCAATTCGGGTAGAAATTGCGATGTGTTGTACGAAAGTCCGAATCGAGCAGTTGTCATTGCCCAAATGCACTCAGCATGTTGTACCTTTGTAACATAAAAATGAATTTAGCTTCATTATATATAGATTTCTAATTCATTCGATTCTGGTGAATATGGTAAAAAGATAATCATGTTGAAGAACTTACTTTCTTCGTGAGTTAATACTCGTTCAGTTTTGCTATTGATTGTAAGGTATGATATTGGCATTGTTGTAGCAACTACAGCATTGCTTGCGATATCCGTAGAAGATGCAGTCATAATGTTAGTAGATGAGATAACTAGATGTGCCGATCCGAACACATCTTTCATGCATTGTTGATGTTTGAGACGTTCGAAGTGTTTCTTAATGTCACCCCAGCCCGCATTACGACAGCTGAGATCGTTAGTGTTACAGACAGTACAACTGAAAGTGCAGTTGTCCTTTCCAGCCTTCAGCCAACGCGAACATGGTTTCTCTGTCGAATCAAGTCTTTCTAGCCACTTTGGCGAGAAATGAGTATCGTTTGGCATTGATTATGTAACAATAGTAATCGTCAAACGCAGAAAGAATAACGTGTCTTACACGTTGAGAGTTGATAGTCAGAAAATTGAAAATAAAATAAATGATGGCAATGCAACAGGCCACCTTATATATATATATAATTTCTGGCTCATTGTTACTTGCTGACGTTCATTGTTCATTGAATGTCACATCCTTTGTTGCATGTCTATACTCGTAGTCAAATTTTTGTAACGAAATGAATCATAGTCAAAAGATTAAATGAGCCACACTGACAATGATCATAGCATCGATAACATATCGTCAGAAAAAGCTATTGTGTGTATGAACAATGAAACAAGTGAACATATTTGAAATAGGTGACGTAATGACGCATCTAGAAACACATTGACAATTTGACATTCCAGGACTGAATCATCGTGTTACAGAACAAAGAACGATGACAACACAGAAAAAACAGCTTTCATAAGAAAAGCTTTTAGATAGCGTTTCTTAGCATGAAATCTTGAAGGATAAGAAATCATTTTTTCCTTTTTATTACTGCATAATTGAATATGAGAAATGATCAGCAAAGATAGACATAAATAAACGAGCAAAAAAAAGTCTTTCGTTAGACGCGTTTTCTTTGATGGAACGATGTATAAAAGTTCAATATTTAGGATGAATATTTATTAATCCTGATTTCCTGATTTATGAGCGAAAATCCTGATTTTTTTCTTTGGAATTCCTGTCCTGATTCCTGATTTTGCATACTAGGCCACTGCGACCCCTGAAGATAATAAATAAAAAACTGAAAAATGTCATCAATGAAAATCGATAAGCAAGACCAAATACAAGAATTAAATAAATAAATGTATCAAAATAATATGGATTTTATTAAATCCAACAAATTTGAATAGTAATACTCAAATAATATGTGAGATATATTAAACTAATATCCAATTACACATAAAAATCAAATATATGGTAAAAAATATGAATAATTACATGTTAATATAAGAAGAAATAACCAAATAATCGCAGATACGAATGGAAGAATATAATTTGAAGTATCTGATGATTTTGAAAGAAGCCATATAGGATCAACACAGTATGGTTGTTGTTCTTCACGACAAATTAAAGATGCTTGTGTTAAAAATAATAAAAAAAGAAAGAAAAAATTTTTGTAAAATATGAATGTTAAATTTTAATATCATTGTTTGAACAAGAAAATAAAGACACACCGCTTCATTTATAATAAACGTATTAGAAAATGATATAAGAGAAAACACAAATAATCAAGACTCATGTCCAACTTCATCCCAAGAAAAAATTCTGAATTCTATTGGGGACGAGGAAATGGCCTTATCTGCCCTTGTCCTTTGAATATACACGAGATAATTTGTTCTTATATACTGTTTAAAGAAAAAAGAAAACACACACATATAGTCACATCAATACACATTATATAAACATAGCACAAAAATAAAAAGATAAATTAACAATGTCAAATTAGACTTGAACTTAATTTAAAAAATATAATAAATGAAAAAAAAAATATGATATACATACAAGAAATAAATAATTTTAAGTTATTGTTGGTGGTAAAGTTTCACCACCATCTGTTTGAGTTACTATATTTTGATCAACAAATATATGAACAAGTTGAGCTTCAATAACAGATAATTAAAAATGATGAAAAAAATAAAACATTGAATGAACAATAAAACAACAACTTGTTGTTAATGCTAAACCTGAATATTGACCATTATAGAAGAGCATGATATGCATAAAATGCAAAATGATATNAAATCCTCATTTGTTTTAATTTACGCTTACCATTTCCATATTTTGACATTTAATATATATAGAATAATTAAAGGCCCTCTATCGAATAAGCACTTAAATCGTAGGGAATATGTGAGTTCCACATTTTAGCCCCGAAGGGGCTGCGCTAACAAGCTTTTTGAATGAAGTACAAGATAGAATGCAAATCAAAACAGTGCGTGAACACTCATCACTCGAAACGCTGAGGAAAACTCATATTCACTCACATGCATGAGCTGTTCTAATGATGAATTTTTCTTTACTCATACTTGATTTTCTAGATATGGAAAATTTCTATTCTCTATATAAAAATTAAAATCTATACGTATTACAAGCTCTTCAATATACGCCGATTGTTATTGTTATTATGCTGTTGTATATGCCATGAGCAAATGTCATTCATGTAGCATGAAAACAAAGATTCAAGACGGCAATAGAAAGAAAAAAATAAGTGAAAGGTTGAAAAGAGATCAATCAACAAAAATACTGACATGCTGACGAACACCGAGTGTTGGTGTTAATTGGATCAAATTTACTTTTTACACTCACAACTCAACAAAAATAGGTATTCTTCAGTCGGTTTCCTTGCTCAGGTAAAATTCTCTATCTCTCTCAATAACTCTCTCAATGTTCATTACTTATAAGCCGAAACATTTATCGTTCATACAAGTCGCCACGCTAGTATAGAATAAAGCGTAATTATACAGATAATGCCATTTTTTTTAGAGAAAATCATAGAAAAAAATTAAATACAAAGAAAATAATCTTTTGAATTAGTTCTTTGTCTAAGATGAGAATACTACGGAGAGGGTGTGAATGTGAATGGAACAAAGGACTCGCATCCACACTGACGTTCATTCACACTCTCAATATCTTTAAAGGAAAATGGTGAAGGTGCAACAAATTGCATCCAAAAAAAAGAATTTGTTATGATCAATATATCCTTTGTTGGTAAAACAGCTGAATTATTAATCAGATGTTTGAAGCAATTTGCAAAAAGATAAAACTCAATAAGGAAATATTAATAGTGTCTGAACAATCTCCTGCAGTAGGATAAGCCTTTAACAACAGAGATAGTATACCCATATATATTTTTAGTCTGGCGTAGTTTATCATTTTATCTACAGCAATAGTCCTTCTCAATATATAGAAAAGACAACTAGGCAAGTAATTAGAGGAATGATTGAGCATGGATATGTAGAAATATCGTCTGACACTGAGTTAAGATTAGAAACAGCACCATATATTGATGTGAATGATATACCAACATTAAGGAGATCTGATCGGTTAAATAAAAAATAGTGAAGGCATATTAGACAATCTGCTTAACAACAATAATTCTCAATATGGCGAAAGAGAGAACATCAATAAGAATTCGTGTAAACGTTGCGACTTAAAATTGGCTTCAGCGAAACATTCAGTTGAATTCAATCATTCAATCAATTATACAGATATGAAAATTTTGTTCAAGGATAGTTCTGTACAAAGATTGAGAATTAAGAAATCATTAGCTATTGTGACTTTGAAACTCTGAAGGTATGATGAATAAAAGGAAAGAGTGGGTGTAGGTGTGGGTGTGGGTGGGTGTGAAGGCCATCAACAACCACATTCACATGCACACCAGCATTCACACCCACACCCACAACCGTACCCACACACCCACACACCCACACCCTTTTAGTTACAGCAACAGATTCGTTCTCTCTCTAAAAGTAGAAATATTCTGTAATAATCCGATGACAAAATAGAAAGATGGAGTGTGCCAGCGAACGAAGGAGAGAGAGAACGAATCTGTTGCTGTAACTAAAAGAGAAAGATCATGACTGCGTCTTTGTGTGTTTGTGTATGTGTGTACATGGGCGAGAGAGAAGGAGAGAAGAGAACGAATCTGTATGCCTGGAAAGAGAGAGAAAAGGGGCGAATATATATATGCTAAATTTATATATGTTTCTTTTTATTTGAGTATAATAAATGGAAAACAACATATTTTTAAGTAAGTTATTTACGTTGTTTCACACCGAATTCGATGTAAGCATATTTTTTGATCGAGATAAAAAAAAAATAATTTTTTTAGAAGGATGAATTTAAGAAGGTACATAATAAAGAACTCCGTCGCTTTATGGGTTCGTCTGAAAAACATGGTGTTAGAGCTACAACTGATGATGAAGATTTAAATAAACAAACAAATATATGCAAAATGCAACTTAAATTAATTTGCGTGTTGTTCAAATATTTAAACAATTCAAGTGGATGTGAAAAGATGTCACTTGATACTATCAAAATAGTTACTGGTGAAGGTGAGCCAGTTGTTATTAAACGGTAAACTTATTATTTTATTTTCATAAAGAATAATTTATTTTGTATTTCAGAGGTGATGAAGAAAATGATAAAAAAGTATATTTATGTCCAGCTTGTGATAATGATATGACAGCTCAAGTTCAAGCACAAAAACAAAAACTTGAAATTGAACAAAAAGAACCACTTTATTTTTGTTGTAATTGTGATCAACTTATTACAAAAGATAAAAAAGATTAAACAACGAACAAGAGCAAATAAAATGATTAGTCGACATATAATATCTTCTGTTAATGCTGTTGGTTTTTTTTATTTTCTTTTGTTATTTTTTTTTTGTCGACATAAAAAAATATAGATGATTAACTAGTAATACATTGATTTAATCTGTTAAGTCATCATTTATTTGCTCTCGTTTGCCGATTGAACGAGTCCTGAAGGCTTTAAGTGCAAAAACAGCGAGCATGTGAGTGATGATACATCATAGAAAATGAATATATATACAATAAAATTAATATAAATATATCTTTATAATAATAATGTATATTCAATTGGAAATTAAAAATGAGAAAAATTATATTTTTAATTATTCTATTAATTGATTTTTCTAAACAAATAAATCCACCAGTAGGAACATCAAGTATAAAATTTGTATTTGATGTAACTGGTTCAATGCATGATGACCTTTTGCAAGTTATTCAAGGTGCAACACATATATATAATGTAACTCTTAGACGAGAATATTCTATTTATAATTATATACTTATACCATTTGGTGATCCACGTAAATATATAACTATATTTTCGTTAATATAAATACATATATATATATATATAGATGTTGGACTAATATTAAAAACACGTGATTCAAAACTCTTTCAACGTGGTTTACAAGATTTAATTGTTCAAGGTGGTGGTGATTGTCCGGGAATGACAATAACAGCTATTAAATTAGTTCTTGAACAATCATTACCAGATTCATTTATTTATGTATTTACTGATGCTCGTTCAAAAGATTATTTATTAAGTGATACTGTTCTAAAATTAATTCAAGAAAAACAAAGTCAAGTAAAAAAAACAAAATTCTTTTCATTGATCTATTTTTTTCTATGTAGGTTGTATTTGTTATGATAGGTGATTGTGGTGATCAAGATCACATTGGTTATCAAATATTTCATAAAATAGCTGCAACTAGTAGTGGACAAGTATTTACTTTAGATAGAAAACAAGTTAGCGAGGTAAAATTATTTATTTTTGTTTTCTTTTCCTTTCAATTCGATTTATTAGATTCTTAATTTTGTTCAATATATATAGCAAACACGAAAAGTTAATTTATTAGTTATTGATAAAATAAAACGAAATAAACAAACATATATATTGCATGTTGATTCAAAACTTCTTGAATTTACAATATCAGTTAGTGGTGCTAATCCACAAGTAACATTAATTGATCCATCAAGTATATTTTTATTTTTGAAATTAAACAATAAAATGAATTTTTTTGTTTTTCTTTAGAGAAAATCTGAAATCAACGTTCACCATTTACACGTCTTCTACGTCTTAAAGAAGTTTATATATTAAATGTAAAACAACCATTGGGAACAATTGAATCTATTTAAATATTTAAAATATTCGAAAAATTCGATTTTTGAGTTGGTGAATGGCAAATTCAAGTAATATCATCATCTGCACATTCAATTCGTATAGCAGGTTTAAGTTGATTAACATTTCGATATGCTTTTTCATCAAATATTATTAATGATTTAACTCGAACACGTCGATAATCTATTCAATGTAGAATAGATTTTTATTTTATCCCTTAAAAATCAAAGAGGCTTTTTCTTACAACAGAAGGAAGATCATGGACCTTTATTGTACTCATACTATAGCTAAAAAGAATTATCTTTCTCTTCTTTGGTAGTTACACAATATCCTTTGGCAGGACTATCCGTCTTTGTAAAAACTCGAAAGATACGAATTTCGATCTGAAATTTTAACTCAAAACAAATGCTTTCCTGTTGAGATAGATCGGTCACATATTGCACAAAACTACTAAAAATCGACTTTTCTTGAACACTCTGTATCTCGACAAGAAAACAATAATTATTAATGAAAATTTTAAGATATTCTAAATATCGTTAGAGCTATGTATGGGCAAGGTTTCAAATCAAAATTCTTTTATTTCTAATCGATTAAAAATTTACGGAATGATCTTGATGCTATGTTTAGGAAAGAAAAATGATATTGAAAAAAAATCATCAATCATAAAAGATCTATTGTTCTATTTGACAATCACTTGAAAATTATATTTTGCTCTTTTTATAGTCTCCAAAATCATTATCGTCCAGAAAAATATTTTTGTATAAGAGCTCTTATTACACTTTCTATTCAAATGTCCCTTGAACGGAATATTCGGCTTTTTTAATGGTTATATAAATCATATGATTTTCTTTGTCATAGGTACTTCAACTTATTTAACAATTGAAATTAGTAATAAAGATGATATACAAAATGCTCAACAAACTGAATTAATTGATTTATATGGTAATATACTTGTTAATCAAAAACTTCAATTAAATACAAATAATTCATTATTATATTCTACTATTGAAAAATTTCAACCACCAGTTAAAAATTTTTTCTTTTATATTCGAGTAATTATTTAATCATTTAGCTTATTTAATATATATATAAATTAAATTTAGTTAACTGGTATTGATAATAATGGTTATCATTTTTAACGTTTAAGTTCTACAGCATTAACATCGTATATTCGATTAAAATCAATAGTTAATGTTGATTATAATTCAATTCAAATTAAATCAAATCAATTATATAATATTCAATGTTATATGCAAAGTCAACTTCCATATTATGTTCAATGGTTTAAAAATGCACAATTAATATCTCAAAATGATTATCCGTAAATAATATTAAAAATTTTATTTTAAAAATTGGAATTTATACTTTCTAGATCTCATCTAACTACAGTTAAATATTTAATTAAACTAACAGAAATAAATGCTGAAGGTTTATATATATGTAATGTAACAAGTACAAGTGGTTATGATATTGATGAAATAAATGTTGATATACTTGGTAAGTTTAAAATTAGAGAAGATTTTTTTGTTGAGATAAATGAATAGCTCCACCACCAATTATTCAAATTCTACCAACGAAAGAATTATTTACATTAATAAATATTACTATTTCAATTAAATGTCTTGTACAAAGTACAAAAGATTATAATTTAATATGGAAACAAGAATTACCATCATCCAGCTTGTCCACAGGTAACGCACTCACCCATTTTTCACCTTTTGCTTTCTAGAAATCAAGAGTAGTACGTAGTAGAGAGTTGAAACTTATAGTTTCACAAGATAATTGGAAGATCTACCTCTGGTACAAAATTTGACGTCATTTGATTGTATTATCACAGTTTTAGACGTTCAGGATGTGTTTTATTCATGAATGAATTGATAAGAGATAATCATAGGCATCACAAATATACAAATGATTACAATATCTAATCGTATGCGTACAAGTAACTACTTAATACAGCTAATCTTGCTGACACACAAACATATGAAACATAGATTATAATACGAGCTATACTGTTATTAATCATCTGTTTCGACTAATGAATCACCAGCTTGTTGTTGTTGATGTGCTTCTACATCTGCATTAAGACGAACAGTTTGTGAATTTGATTGCTGTTGTTGTTATAATTCATGTTTGTAATCTCGGTATACATCACATAGTATTTGTGTTAAAGATCGATGTAAACATGTACTGAAAAATTCATCCCAATGTAATGGATTAATGTTGAATCGAGCACATACAGCATCTAAAACACAAAAAGATGAGGAGTATAATCGGATCTAAGATTGTTCAGGCTTCTCCTAAAACCATATGGAAATCTTTCAAAGAGCAAGAAAAATGTGATTGATTTGTCCCATGATAAAGATGTTTCCGTGCCCTCAATAAGCATTATGTAAGACAACAATACATCTAGTTTTTACTTCGATTCGAAGAAAATTAAGGACCTAGTTTTGAAAATACGCATACGCTTTGGATCAAGACCAGGTTTAGCATATGTTGGATTAGCATAAAGAATCGATTCACTCATTTCAGCCGGAGTAAATAATATTTTCATCACTCGTCGAGCGTATCGACCGCAATCACCAGAATCATGAATATCCAATAGATTAATACCTTTATACGGCTTGTTACATGAAAAAAAAGTGAATACATATAACGAACAATATTTCCACTTACTAAAACAGTACGACATGTTTCACGATCATTTTGATACTTCTGTAAATTAGAATTGATCTAAAATGTAAGCAAATAATAAAGTAATAGTTGCTTCTAACATGCTGCAGCATTCTTACTGGAGTTTGTTGCATGGTTTTTAAGAATGTTTTAAATTGTTTTTCTAATTTTTTTTCATGAGTTTCAATACATTCAGTTAATTTTGCAATAGCATAGGTAAAGTCTAAAAAACGTGATTCTTTAATAAAAGGAATTTTTACAAAAGCAGCAGGCCAAAAAAGAGAGGATAGTATCTGATACTAGGTCATGCATGTTTCGGCTCGAAGCAATAAAAATAAATGTTACTTCATGAGAAATTTTTTTTTTTTCACAACAGAACATTAAGCCGATCTATAGATCACTAACACATTCTAACCGAGAATATGAAACAGAAAGAAATATGTCATCATCTATTTCATGATTAAACAGATTGAATTAATTCAATGTGAATTAAGAAACAATATTGACCTCTCTCCATTTAGCAATGCCAATTCCATTGCTTACTTCATTTTGAATTAGTCTACTCTGTTTGTGTTTATTATCTTCATTATAGAACGAACATGACGGCATCGATATTTCTTTCTTATTTTTCTTATACACGGCCATGAGAATGAGAAGCATATATATAGATTGACACGAATACATTGTATGAATTAGACATGAACAATTTGAACAATAAACGACTCAATGTACTCGATATACCTGATGAAATCTTTTTCATTATTTTTAAAAAACTTAATATGATTGATGTTTTTTACTCACTTGTGAATGTTAATCGACGATTTGATTGTTTAGCACTTGATTCTCTTTATATTCATGATCTTAATATGACTGATGCTATGACCATCAATTCATTTTACGAACTAACTTGTTCAATGGATAGTCAAGTTATTTCAAAAATTAGTCAAACAGTTTTACCTCGCATTCATCATCAAGTATATGAACTCACCGTTGAAGAATGTTCAATGAAACCAATACTTCTTGCTGCCAACTATCCTCAACTTTATTCATTATCACTTATTAATTTTCAAGAAGAAATACTTTATCAATATTTAAGAGGTATTGAATTTAATTCTACTTGTTAGAATTAATAAAAACAATCCATTTAATCAAACAAAAATTAATAATTATCTTTTACTTCTTTTTTTAAATTAAAGATGATGTAATTCTTCGTGATCTTCTTACTAAACAAATAACACATCTTAATATTGATATTAAAAAGATAATAGGACAAAGTACAAAAACCGTTTCAAAAATTTTTGCATTAATCTTATCTTTATGTAAAAATTTAACTGTTTTAAATTTTTGTCATATGTTTCCAACACGAAAGTGTCGGCTGCCTATTTCTTATCTACCATCAACAAAGTATATGTCTTCAACTTTAATCAAATTGAAAATCACTGTTTCATGTTTACTGGATTGTCTTTATCTGCTTGATGGTAGTCTTGATTCTTTATCAACGTTAATTATTAATGTATCAGATATTTTTGGTCCTAAACTACATAAAGATTCAAAAGTAAGTGTAATTTCAACGATCACGTTTTGCAAGAAAAATATTAAACTAAATAATTTTAATTTTATTTACTTTATAGAAAAAGCTTCTTCAATTGAAATATTTTTCGTTGTCTTCACCTGAGTTCACAGATGATTCTGAGGATGTAATTGTTCCATTACTTTGTCGAATGATAAATCTTGAAGAATTGATCTTATATCTATTAGTAGAAAGATTTAATTCAACTTATATTGATGGTATTCAATTATATGATCAATTTCTTGTTTATATGACACAATTAAAGAAATTTACATTTAATATCAAGACAAATGTCTCTAACATTCGTAGAGTTAAACTTCCATCGAATGAAGATATTCAACATAGTTTCATTGGAAGAGGTTATCAACAAGTTACTTCATATGTTCATAATGATTCAATGGAGAACAAAGGCAAATGCTTGATCTATTCAGTTCCATATGAATTCGATTATTTTTTTGACTTGGACAATTCTTTTCAAGGTGGCATTTTTCATAAAGTGCGATATTTAACGATGGATGATAGAATTCCTTTTGAACATAAATTATTTAAACTTATCTCTGAAGGTTTTCCCTTTCTAGAATCCTTACGTATATGGAATCATCATTCACCAAAAAACAAGGAACATTCATTAACATTAATTGTATTTCGTTATCTCACATATCTTGATCTACAAGATGCACATGATGACTATGCTGAACTATTTCTCTTGAAAAAAAATGTTCATTTACCACGTTTGTTAAATCTCTCCGTGCAATACAAATCACTCATAACAATAACAAACAATTTTATCAATGATGCAATGGATTTTAATTTCAGTAAATTGAAAAGTCTATGTGTATGTCAACCATTTGTTCGTCCAGAAAATTTCCATGAATATTTTCCTTTGTTGTAAATTTTTTCAATAGAATAAAATATGTAGAGAACGAAATATTTTTGATTTATACTATATATTGCAACAAAGAACAGGAAACTTGAATGTGAAATGCGATAGGAAGCAAGTCACACATCTATCAACAAAAAATCGTATGAAACGAATAGTTATATTTATGATTGAGTACGAAATGTTTTCAGTAAGTGTTTGTAATATATTTCATTTAGTTCTTTTTCCTATTAGTTTGGTGAAAAATATTAATGAAAGATAATTATTTATAAGAGAACCTAATGTTAGAAATAGAGTTGTCCAACGTATTGGAGCAAGTACTGGTTGATGATCAGTTGCATACAAGCAATCATCAGATAATATTGATGAAAATAATGGAATTTATCGATTATTATTATGGAGAATAAGATAATAAATAAAAAAAACTGAAAAATGTCATCAATGAAAATCGATAAGCAAGACCAAATACAAGAATTAAATAAATAAATGTATCAAAATAATATGGATTTTATTAAATCCAACAAATTTGAATGATAATACTCAAATAATGTGTGAGATATATTCAACTAATATCCAATTACACATAAAAATCAAATATATGGTAAATAAATGCGAAAACCTCGGATTTAAATCCGAGTGTTATGTGTACTTCAAAAAGTGAACAGGTATATTCACTTTGTTTTTTGTCAACTGAGACATATCTAGGCAATTTGCTTTCTGTATGCAGTTTTTGTGCATTTTGAGACCTTTTTCAGGCAATGTTTTGTTAGAAGGCTACGATTTGGTTCAAAACTAATATCAGATTCGGAATCAGCGTTAAAAACTGAGTCGATTTATATATGTTGTGAATAATTCTGAGAAAATGTTTTTTTTGAAAAAATTCAGGTACACACCTGTCATTNGTAAAAAAAAAATGAGTCATAAATAAACGAAGAAGGAATATATCGCATAATGTATAGATTATAACACATTCGATTGAAAGCTCTACAGTACACGTACTAAGTTATAGCTTGATAAGAACTGATTAATGTCTTGGTTATCAACCAACTTTCGTCTGTTCATTCGTCTACCATCGTTCATTCATACATCTCGTATGAACGTCACTACAACAATGTCTAACAAGGTAAACAATGCTGTAAGTCCTGAAAAAATCAAACAAAATTACATGAAAATAGGTGCTATGGTCATCGGTGTCGTTGGACTATACGCATTATTCAGAACATCGAAAAAGGAAAAGCAACTTGTTAAACATAGCATGGACACACGTCATTAATTGTCACTGATATTGACAATGAAAAAGAACTTTCTCTATGAAATGCTCTGTCTCGTTTTTGAATCTATGAACTTAATATTTTTTTTTATCGATTTCTTTTCAGTTTCATTATACATAATAGAAGTTACTCTAGCATACTTGTTCTACTTAAGTATTTACATTATTTGAAGTATAAGAAAAGAAAAAGCAAAAATCATGAAATGTGATTGGATAATATCAATTTAACGCTAACATATCAATATATCTTATATAACATTTTAAGAGAGAAGATTTCAATGTTTCGATTAATTTACTTTTTAAGTTAATGATCGATTGTTTTACTAAATTTCATTTATCATAGTAGAAATCTATAATGTGTAATGCGAAGGAAACAAATAATCTAACGACAAACAGAGTATTGATGAACGTTTAGCTAATTCTTTGGTGACATCAATTGGAAAATATGTCCTGATTTTTCAGTATTATTCATTTGAATTAATCCAAAAGTATATTCATCCAGACAATCTGTCTGGGTTTAGACAAAAGTTTATCAAATAAAATGAATAGACATACAATAGTCATTCAAAAAAGAATCTTATAAACCAGTCCACATAAGCTACGACCATTGAAAAAATTATTAAAAATCCCTAAAATGGTTAAAATTTGATTTTTGATTACCAGTATACAATAATCTTCTCTTCCATGTAAAAGTTACATTATATGAGTTAGTTACTTGTCAAGGATTTTCTGATACAAACAAATTGATAATGCATCATTCGTTTAATTTACATCGTAGCTCACAAATATTGACATGTGGAAAAGTATTTTGCAAAGACAAGTAAAACCTAGTACTCACTGACCAACTATAACTTTGATATGATCAAAAAAGCATAACTTTTAATGAATTTCGAATTTTTTAAACTTGTTTATTTAACGTACAAATTCTGTTAGTTTAAAGATTACCATCTCGTATTTTAGATATTGTAAATCAAAACAATTGAATTTAATCGATGATTAATGATTTGATAGAACTACTGTTGATAATATCTCGTGTGTAAAAGTTTGTCATCTAACCGATATTAATCATTAAACAAAAAACCAATCCAATTTTCATTTCATGCTAGGATTTATTATTATGTATATTGCAATTCGATATCAAAAATTGAAGTTTGTCATTGGAGATTTCTTTCATAATTCTTAGAATCGTTGATTGATGTTTTCAAAATCAGCATAATAAGTAGGTTCATCAATGAAAAATATATAAACTATAACTAGATTATATCATTAAGAAGAACTATTCGACCACCATATCAATGTGCTCTCTAAAATTACAAAACGTCAAGTTGTAGGTGTGCTTGTGATTTATAGTAAAATTAACAGCTATCACGTTTATACTCACACTCACCTACGCCCATGCATTTCAGGCTGTTACTGTAGCGATAAATGAAAGGAAAGGTGGTGATAACAGACTGGAGGAGTAGCTTACCGCCACCATCGGTAATGATGTTTATTAGCTACTTTACATCTCCAGAATGTGTCTATTGCACATTCGATACAAGCTTATATATGATAGAGAAACAAAGAGAGAGAGAGATGACACAGAGAGAACAATAGAGAGAGAAAGAGGAAGAGCAGCGAGCCGTGACGCATATATCGGCACACTTACCATAAAGGATTACTTACAATCAGTCAAAGAACAGAAAATCTTAGAGTGTGAGTCCTGATGCGCTTCTCTTTTTCGACTACACCTACGCCCACTACTTTCACTCTAGTTGTAGTGAATCTGTTGGTCAAAGAGTTTCAAATTTTTGTTTATCTAGATGGAAAAATGTGACTTCTGTTGCTCGCAATGATTATGACGCATAACAAGGGATAGATCAAAGGAAAAGATCGAAGCATATAGAAACCGATATTTATATATATAGAAGATGGAACACCGTGAGCAAATGAAAATTGTAGTAAGTCAAGTCACGGATACTAATTCAGATTTGTTATGTGTGGACAAAAAGATAAATTTATTATACTTTCTGATTACTTTAATTATCTATTACGAACTAATTTTACTGATAGTTGAGTTATTTTAGGCATCTTATTATAAAATATATTCAATAATCCATAGATCAGGTAGATCATCATCTTTTAAGATAAAACTTAAGAAGGTACCGAACATGGAAAAATCTATGAAAAATTTTTAGAAGTAACAGGTGCATTATCTTATACATTTAACATGTTTTCATATGGTTTTTTGATAATTTATTGCGTGAGTCCAATACAGTATAGGTGAAGTAAAAAATTTTTCGTATAATTATAGTTGTATTTGAAGATAATAGATCAATAAAGTGAAAACTTTGCTTATTTATTCCTGTAATTTGAATAGAAATTCTCTTTTTTTCTACAAGCGGCCTTATGTTTTTGTTTGTATTACTGATATTCGCTTATTATTTTGCATTATTTCTAATTTGTTTTTCTTAATTTAACATTCTTCTTATACTTATGGCATTGATTAACAAATAAGTCTGTTTTACATATCCATGATATCTGTACCGGATCTTACACAATTTTTCATACATTAATCAACTCATAAATGATTATATTTATTATTTTGGAAAACTAAAACTTGGTTAACTTCACAAAGGTATTCCAGAAGGTCCAATATATCCTATCCTCAATAGACTTAAATCTGTAATGCGGAAGATAATTATTCAAAAAAAAAACTGGTTTTCAATTCGAAAATTTTGCATGTTCTTAAGGTATATTCAAAACCAAAATCATCAAATTTTGACGAAACTTTCATATCACAAAGAATGATTCAACTGGCAAAGGCTTTTACATGAATAATTTGGCTATTAATCTGATTCAAATGGGTTAATTTATCTGAATCCAATTAAAAGATATCCTCACACAGATATCATGGTTAATATTTGTCTCTGTTATTGATCGAAAAATATAGTCAATGAAAAATCGATGCCATTTAAAGTAAACCAAAGAATACCATCTTTCAGTTATGAAATCGATTACTTGATTAATTGATTTCTTCATGTTTGTATGTTTATATTTGAATGTTCATTAATTAAAATTGTATATGCGCATTCAAACCTATTCTACAACCACAAAAATATGTAGCGTCTTTATGAAAATTAATTAAGTAAATAATAGAATTCAAATCATAGTTATACCAACTTTATTACTTTTTTTCCTGTTAGCCTTAGTAATCCTTGAATGCTCACAACTCCTGCAAGAGCTAATCTAGAAAGAAGCTACTTGAATTCAAAACTAAAGATGTAACCATTTAAATGAGAATACTTAAATAAGAAAAACAAAATACAAGATTAGGATTATTTCGATACAAATATCGAAGATTTGCTAATCTGTTGTAATCTTAAAGCTGGTTGACATGAGTAGTCCATATTATTGATGGCATCATACAAATTTTTTCAATCTGCAGAAAACTGAAAATACCATTGAAAAATCTGCACGAGCTTAAAACTATTAAACTCTTATTTGATATATTTATTACGCACAAGTGATGTTTTTAATTAAATTTGTTCGCCAGGAAAAGAAAAAGAAGTACAATGAAACTTATATATTTTTCAGAAATAAAAGTTATCGGCGATTTGTATTGGTCATTGTCTGTTCTGCAGCTCAGGTATTATTAGTTATGCCAACAACATTCCAAGCTGGTTTTGCAACAGAATTCACTATTTTCTTGACTAAATCGGGAAGTGTACTAAGACATATTATTGGCAAAAAAAGTGGAATCAAATAGATAAGGAACAAAATGATGTCCATTTGATCAGCCATAAATGAAGGCATTACAGTTGTTTGGACAATCCATACTATCGTCACAGGTAGCCAACATCCCATATAAAGTGATGAAACAATCCATAACTGAAGTAACATTTTGCGATGACGTTGCCATCGTATTATTTGATTGCGAGACATCTTTTGATAGATTATTCGAATTAATAATGCTAAATTTGCGAGTGTAATTATGAAGACGGGAATAGCCACATTGAAAATGAAATCAAACTGACCGAGAAAGTTCGTCGTAAAATAACACGGAGGACCACAATTAAGATAGTTATAATCCCATAAAGTCGTACAAAATGGACTAACGACTACTAGAACAAAATAAAGTGTTGGTGTGTAAATGAAACAAAGAATAATTGGTATGAAATGAAACATCCATTTTTTCCATGGCTTTTGAAGCATCGTATTTGGTTGAAAAATAAGCATATGTCTTTCAATGGAAATCCATGTCATTAGAAACAAACTGATAGCATTCAGTGAAAATTCACACCATGTCCACCATACACAATATGGATAAGACTGTGGCCAAACAATTTCCATATAATAATAGCTCATTGGCATTGGTAAATCCATTAGGAGTTGAAACATAGTGATGATGATTAAAATAAGCCATCCATGATTTTTGATATTCGAACGAACTGCATGGTTCAGAGTAATGTGGCCAACAATCACAATTGAGACAACAACAGCTGGAATTTCGAAAACGAGCATAAGAATGAATTTAATTCTGTTATTCATGATTCGTATATGATACAGTGGATCAACAGAAATGTTGTTGAATTAGACAAAAGTAATAGCAAATAAGCCAAAAAAAGGATGCTAATGATGTCGGGATAAGTTTTGTGCATCAATGAAATCTTTTCAACGTAAGAGAATATAATCATTTATGATTATTTGACAGGTTTTATGCAACAATGAAGTCTTTTCAACGTCAGAGAATATAATCATTTATGATTAGTTCTAAAATAACTACGTCATCAAGCCCGGTAAAATGCTGATAGAAAATAATTCCTAATCAAATGCTTTGACATAGAACTGAAGTACAAAGTCAGTTTTTCAAATAGTATGTTGTGCGATTATATTTTCTCTTGTAATAATCAAATTGTAAACATGAAAACGTAAGAATAAGTTCTACACAATTGATCAATGTGATTCTATAAAAAAGAATTAATATAGCGTCGAGCAATGGCGTATATAAATTAGCATGTGGGTGTTAGCGTCCATGATAGATCACTTGAACGCTAAACGATGATAAAGATGCGCATTCTAGTCTAATTGGTTAGGACATCTGCCTGGATAGCAGAAGGTATGGGCTTGAGTTCCATGAAGGTTATCTTTTTCATCGTTCTGTCACATAGCATCAGTGACACTACTTGTCTCTCTTTCGTTATACACATATAGAGCTAACAGTAGGAACTCATAATTATTCATTTTGTTCATATATTCTATTCTTATAACTATTTATAGTTTACATATTCAACCAAGCTTTGTATTCATTAACGTTATTCGAATAAATCTCCTAGTGAGAGCAATTGTCCAGTGATCAAACAAAAAATACTTATGCTAGAAAATGCTGTGAGTATCCACGAGTACTCATGGTGAAATCTTGGAGATTAACCATAGGTCTGTCTTTTTTGTTTGCTATTCTTGTATTCTATTCATTATATTTTCTTAAAAAGTTAGCAATGCGTTACAAACTTGCATGAAAAGATTGTGACAAATGCAGATACTACATTCTCACACTCTTCTATAAAATAGAAAAATAGACTTTTTATCTTCAAGAGAAAAAGAAACACTCAGTGAAAATGGAACAGCATCCTAAACGTCAGAAAAGAGAAAATTAGAAACTAATAACTTCATTTCATCTAGTAATACAGAATAAAAGAGTAAACTTACTGTCTTTTACAGGACAAACGCTTCGTAAATATATTGAAATCTGTTTAACTTGTATTAGAAATTATTATCTGTCATGCATTTTCATTGATTTTCTTTATTAGTTCGAAATATTGTTTATTAATCTGAAATGGTATTTCATCTAAAACTTTATTTATGTAGCTACTAGAGACGGTAAGTATTTAAAAAAATCTTCATTCGAATTTGATTTGACCCGCATGCAAAGAATAGATAATACACTAATTTTCTGGTATAACTCGTTTGATATACATGTTCCACTCTTATCTTTCTATCTAATGCAAGCAAATATAATCAAAAGACAGATTTTACAAAATGAAATTGCGCATAAAAAAAACTTTCTACACCAATCTTCCCTAAAATAAGGCTCTACTTAATTCTTCAATAATCGAAATCTCACGAAAAAAAGTGCATATCGTGAAATTGCACTAGCAACATCGAAGCTCATTTTCTTTATAAATCTTCATTCAAAAGCAATAATTAGAACATTTGAAAAAAGCATAATTTAGCAGGCATGACTACAGAATATCCCTATAAATGAATAGATACGTTGCTTCGCTTGTACATATCTGTCATTAAAAAAGATATTTATGGTTATATGATGACATTTTATCAAGATGAAACATTCCGTACAGTTATCAATAAATATATATCGAAAAAAAAAATGTTTAACTTTTCAAATACTCATGAGATTATAACATATCTATTCGTTCATTATTTGATTACACATTCGGATCATATGATTGAATAGAAAAAGTCGAATCCGAAGCGTCTCACCTTGATTCGATTCGGCTAAGACGAATAGAATCGAACCGAATCATGTATCTATCCGATTTAGTTTTCCTCTATGTGGTAGACAGAAATTCTCATAAGAATATTTTTCTTACAATCTATTTGAATTATTTAGACAATGAACTACCTGAAAATAATAATCCATATATATACGTAATGAAGATCTTGATGATGAGGGTAAGGATGTGAATTCAAGCATACTCCAATAATATGCTCATATCTATCTCTATTATGTCCTAATTCTTGAAAATCAGTTCATTTATAACGCCAATAAACCATTTGATCGACACTAGCAATGATTGTAAGACAATGAGTTCTGACATTAACTTAATGAGCACTCACGATTGACTACCACAGACTGTTTCAAGAAAAAAAAACTATCCAAAAATGGATGAAATGAATAAATGTCTAAACGAAAAATGAGGAAAAATGACTTATCCACACTAAGTAACTTGATCATGTCCATAAAAGCCGTTCACAATTATTTTCCATGCTATTCGAATAGTTCTCATCTTTGCAAATACATTCGGCTCTAGTATCTAGTCGAATACTATATTCACCAAAATTTATTGTTTTTCCTGGCGGATCATGGAATCTCACGAGGTTATTTTGACTTGATTGATTTTTAGGACTAATTAATATCTATAGAAGTCTCATGTAAACACATTAATTTATACGATCATAGAATGAAATCTGTCGAATAGACGATTTTCCTATCGAGGTAAATCAAAGATGCTTTTCTATTAAGTTGAAAACTGAAGTATACTAATAAAATCAATTCTTCTTAAATTAACAACTAGAAACAAAAAAAAAACACTGGTGTGCTTCACTTTTTAAATACTAGTTTGCAATCGAACTGTGGTTATTTTGCTCAGTTCCTAAGATTCGTTTATCTTCTGAAATAGCCTTAGTGAAATTGATACTCTTTGCAAAGGAAGCTTTAGTGGATTCAACTTTATTGTGACGAGAAAATGGTAGATACATTTTCAATTGCATCTCCAAAATTTTCCACTCGTAAGTTTTCCAAGGAAAACATTCATAGAATAAAGATTATACTGACTAATTAATTTGAATTCTTATAGTGAATATCTTGCTGCTTTCAAATGTAATTTTCTTAACAATTTCATAGCATTAGATAAGATATTAGTTAGAACAAAATATATCACTACAATGAATCTGTTCACTTGTTTAAAGAAATGCTCAGCCATAGTTTTCGTGAATATCAATATATATATATATATACATGTATACGTAATGATGTCATCAGTTTCTCATCTTTCTTTTAAATAATTCATAGCAAATCATAATTATCAGAGAGTATTTTCAATTGATAATCGTCAAAGAAAAATATTTTAGCTGCTGTAATGTCAGATTTAGCATAATGAGATCAAGAAGATTATAATTTTGTTTTCCATTTCATATTTATTCAATATGAGCTTTTGAACAACTGCTATAGCCTATGAGCAGATCAAGTCGTTAAAATATGACGAAATTAACTGACCATGATTTATGTTTGTAAAATCAAGATCAATAATTTTTTGAACGAAGTAAACGAGATTCATGTTTTCAGCAGATTCTTCATTTTTCAACAGTTTGAAGCGTTTTTTTTTGCAAAAAAAAAATTTATAAATTGATTATTTTCCAAACAGATTAAATTAATAGAATGTAAATACATATTATTTATTTTTATTAAAAAATAAACAAAAAAAAATTCACCTCGTTTCGGTCTTTGATTGTTTTTTTGATGGACTTGGTGATAACGAAGTATGACAATATGACAAGTAGAATAATAATTATAACCTACGTAGATAGAAAAGTGATTGAATCAAGACAAATAATATTTCATAGTTTCCACTTGATCGTAACTTCTATGCTACTGCTCGACAACTAACGACAACTATGCTGTTCTACTCTGAATAATAAGGACAGGAGCTATGAATGATTATAATCGTAACTTATGGAAGCCGTTACTTAGTATTTTGACTCATCAAAGAACGCTCGAGAAAAAATACACTACAGTACTCTCTCTCTTTCTCTACATAGCAAATGCTTTAATACTCATCTATCATAAAACATTCAGTTATTTTGACAGATTTTTTATTAAACTATAATGTAAACGATCACGTTTTTTGTATTAACTGTGAAAAATGCTATCTATCTAGCGTGTGGTAAGTGTATAAGAGACATCTTATTTGTTATCTTAATTGAGTATGTTATCGATTAAATACACTTTATGTTTATCTTATGAAAATTCGACAATATTTAATGATCGATAAATTAATTATACTGAGAATATTTAAAATAATTCAATGAATTTCTAAAAGATATTTCGTAAAGTTTTCGAAATTGCAAAAATAATCTCTTTTTTTTTTAATTGTTATAAATCATTTTTGAGCGATGTTAAGTCAACTCTACAAAAACACAATTATTGAATAAAACTATTTTTCATAATAGATTCGACGCAATTCGATTTCATTACAGAATAGCTTTAAAAGACTCCTTTTCATGTGCATTTGTCTTTCGAAAAATGCCCTCATTGACCTTTCTATTCTGTATTGACTTGTTGTTTTCTCTTTGCTGTTTGTAGCCTCACATGGACAACTCCCTTTCTCGACGAACTGTATAATTTCTTAACTTTGTTCTTCTCTTCGTCTCACGTATTGCGCAATAGAAATGAGACAGAAAAGGTGGAAGTCAGACTCCTTTTCTTATTTATTTCTTTGACTCTATTCTCTGGTTTATAATAAAGACACTATTTTTCTTCAAAGAAGGGCAAGAAGAAGAGAGAAGATATGTACAGAGAGTAATGGCTATTTTACTATCTTTATGATGATCTCTAGCAGAAAAACTATATCGCAAATGACATGACCTTTCTGCAGTTTCGCGTCATATTTACTGCTTTGCATGCCATTCAAAACGTAAACTTGTTAATCACAAGCTCGAAGAAAAGAGTAGATCCGCTTATATGATGTGATGGTGCTCTGCTGGCTACTATGAAAAAAAATCAGACAATCAAAGTCGAGAGAGAGAGACAAGTAATGCTATGGCGAAGAAAATAAAAAATCTTCTGTTCTGATTGCGACAATTATTTGTTTTGATGGTTTTAAAAACGAGCATTACGCTATGGAATGTAAAATCATGATACTAGCAATTGCAAAACAAGTGATACATTATATGTAATTACCTGCACAAGAAAATAAGAAAAAATATGATTGTTTTCTATATTAAGTTTCTAGTCTCAGTTGGATTTGTCTTTCGTCAATCAGACGTTAGCTGAACATTTTTGACTTTTCTAGGGCTTTCGTAAACTAGCTTACTAGCAACGACAAAATCACTGCAAATCATATTTTTAATCTAAAGTATAGAATATATGATTAAAAGACGTTTTCCTCGATGTGTCTGAGAATAGCAAAGTTTATACGTTTACAATACATAGAAAAATGTAATATGATAGTACAAATTATTCATACACTTTCTGAATCTTCTTTTTAGTATGTGTTAAAATAGTACGTTTAATGATCAGGCACTTTAAATTTACTTTTGTTTATTTTGTCTTTTATTACTATTTCATCGTTCGATGATTCTTTTGGAAATGTGAACGATAGAATGTTATTGCTCTCGTAAGTCTATTGTTACAGTCAGTAGCACAAATATTAATTGATCAAAATGTTATCAATTTTTTGTATTGTATTATCGAGCATGCATCGGTAACTGTATTTTTGAAGATAAATGTTATTTGGGTTTAACAAATACATAACAGATTGTTTGCTGTAGACAAGAAAAGTCGGCACTAAAAAAAGGAAATTTCATCTTTACGGATACTCTCTAATTTAATTGATTGTTTTTTGTGGATTGGTTACGTTTTCCGTCGATGTAAGTACTATATATTTTTGATCGAGTTAAATTGCATAGAAGTCTTAAATTCGATCAATAGTATGACTGATATAAACTTTAATTATGTGATTGCTTGGGTTACACTCCTGATTTCAACGCTATCGGATTGATCTGGAAAATATCACGTAGAAAATTAAAAGCAAGAATCATTTAAAATCACAATATTAACTACAGATTGCGATTGATGAAGCTTTAAATAGTCTATTGTTAAATTTTATTCAAACATTTATTGAAAAGATTGGAAAAGTATATCAACCATTTATATCTTCATATTAAATTTTTCTATATATTCTAAAATCTAAACTTGTGCTATTTATACATATCCAAGAAAACTTCTTTTGATCATATGTTCTATATTTTAGATTAAAAATACAATTTGTAATGATTTTATCATTGGTAGTTAGCTCGTGCTCATAAACGTACACTTGTTCACTCGAAACTCAATTACAACATATGGATCAACCAACTTCTCATTTGAGCAATACTAACATTGACATTGATTATACAACACCTACAGTGCGCTATTCAGTGAAAAACGACGAGACATTGAAGGAAGGTCTTACTTATTTGAACGAAAATGGATATGTTGTTATCAGTGATGTACTGAATCAGGAGGAAATCGATGAGAATAAGAAATTGCTTTGGAAATTTTTGGAAGATGCTTCTAATGGTCAAATGCGACGTGATCAGCCGGAAACATGGTCAAATCCATGGTAAGCTTATTTATTTCAAAAAAAAAGGTTATTCCTCTATTGTTTCACTAGGCTTGATTGTTGTATATATGGCGTTATCAACGGAAAGGGTATTGGTCAATCAGATTTTTTATGGAATATTCGATCGAATCGACTAGTAAAAAAGTTTATGCTCACATATGGAACACTCAAGAATTGTTGGTTTCATTCGATGGATGTGGTATCTTTCGCAATTGGCGTAATAATCCAGAATGGAAAACGACAAGTGGCTGGTATCATGTTGATCAAAATCCAAAAAACAAACCAGATCGATGTTGCATTCAAGGTTTTGTTACGCTTACTGATCAAAATGAAAAAACCGGTGGTCTTATCGTTTTTCCACGTTCACATCTACGTTTTCATGAATTGCTTGACGTGACAAAATCTTCCAAAGATTTTATCGACATTCAAAATAATAATTCAATCATAACTCGTGGCAAACTTGTTCATTGTCAAGCTGGTGATCTTGTTCTTTGGGATAGTCGCATGGTTCATTGTAATTCACCTGCTATTGCTATTGAAGAACGGGCAAAAGATGAGCCGATCGATCTAATTCGTATCGTTGCCTATGTTAGTATGAGTCCGACATCATTTGTACGTGATCAATCGCTTGAAGAATTCCGTGAAAAACGAAAACAGATGGTAGAAAATAATTATACTCTAACACATTGGAGCACGGAACTTGTTGTGACAGGTACAGTTTTCACATGAAACATCTATACACAAATTGTATCTGTTCGAAATAATGTTTAGATAGTATTCATACTGGTCTGCGGAAAGTGTCGTTGGACAAGTTCAACGCCTACCAGAAAGCTCTGATCTTCGGTACCGATGAAAGTTCTAGTGAAGTTTTGTCCGTGTGATTTTTTTTATTAATTTTATAATTAACGATCATTTTCACTTTCAATATAGTGATACAGCTAGTCTAATTTTGTTCTTTTTTGTATACAAGCAAAGCCATTTTGAGTTTTATAAAAAACAAAGATATCAATAAACAATGTGCTTTTTTGATCAGCTTGTATCTGGATGACTATCATAAAATCAAGTGAGTTAGATATTAAGCAAAATTTGACATTTTAGATCATGGAGTATTGATTTCTATTTTCAATCTTTTCCTAGAAAATTTTTTTCAAAAGTAACAAAATAGATAACTAATTAATTGAAGAAACATAATTATTAATAAAATCGATGATGATAATTCTAATTTCTTTCGAAACTTATATTTTAATTGATTATGAATAGCAATTGGTGAACAAGTAAGACTATGAATAACTCTGTGAAGATGGATGTCTCCTCTTTAATATCAAGATATAACTAAAAACTAATTCATTTCTTGTTCGTATGTTTGCTTTCAGAAAACGAATGATTGGCATCAGTCATCAACAAGAAATCTGATGAGTTCTTATTCATTTCCCCCTTTTACTAAGAAAGTCTGAAAACTTAGTGTAACTAACCGAATCAGAGGAAACTTCATCGATTGTTTAACAAAATAGAATATGAATACGAATTATTCATGGCGAGCCTTTCTCGAAAAAAAAGCAAGTGATACTACCTTTCCACATTGACATAAATCACTAGCACGAGACCGTACTTCCATTTACTTTAATTACAAAAAGAAAACCTGTTTCATCTGTCCGTTAGTTTTAAGTGTTAGCTATACCCTCTCGTTTGTTACATTCTATGGATCACTGATGATGACTCTTCATACCTCCATCAATATTTGTAGAATCAAAAGGATGTGAATATGGGTACAGCTCTAGTCGTCACATAGAACCTCACACTCATTTCCTCGCTAACTTGTTGCACATAATTGGCACTCTGGAGATCATCTTATCACGTTACAAACCAATCTGATAAATGGAGTATAGTTACTTTTTTAAATCGTGATAATATCCAATGAGTTTTCATCCTTCTACTAAACTTGAATCATCATAATGATCTAGAAAGAAAGAACATATTTTAGAAATTGAAACAGTTTATAACCTTCATTGTACAATATTGTTTTTCGTTGAAATCATTCATATTTTTACATAAAAAATCTTTCAAAAAAAAAGTAAGATCAATATTTGAAAAATTATTATTATCTAATACATGTTTTATCAAATAATTATGGGGTGTGGGTGTGGGTGTGGGTGTGGGTGTGGGTGTGGGTGTGGGTGTGGGTGGGTGT